GAATGTGGCATGCTTGTTGGTGACAACAAGGCAACATTCAGAAGGTAGCATCAAAATTTGATGTAAACAACATGAAACCATTGGATCCATCCTGCCTTGTATCAGTACTGCAGATACAGGTTGTTGGTAAAATGTATTTTATAGCATTGAGTAAAAGCACCTTATTTCAGCATCACTCTGTCCAGCTTTAGCTTGAGTCAATTCTAAGCCGAATGGCTGCTAAAAGTGAGGATATACACAACCCTATAAAACCAGTACCCTTAGCCCCAGGTTACAAGGCTGTGTCCTGCTGTTAGTGGTCTGTAATCTGATCACTACATGGTGGTGTGATGTTTAAATTCAGTTTCTTGTATTTCAAGACAGCTGCATTGGATTGGATTAATGCAGTTATGAAGAACCTAAAAGCTTTTTTCTTGAACATTTTAAAATACGCTTCTTTTATGTATTCTTTAACCTGCTGAAAACTTGGTGTGCCATGGGCCTAAAATATCCCTATATGAGTATATTTACGAATGGTTAATATTATCCTTGTGGGATATTTTAAAGGGACTTATTGTGCTAATTTCATTATCTTACTGTGAGCCTTGATGCAGGTTCTCAATTAATTCAGTGTCCAAAAAAGCTTTTTTTAGCTCCTCCCTTTCTTTCTATTAATTGGCTGCCCCTCGCAACCAAAAAGGTTTAAACAGGAAGTAGTTGGGGATGATTAGAGCCAGAACTGTTTGCCTGCGATGACCTTTTGACTGCAAAGAAGGATATCCACTCCCACTGTGATTACACAATACGAAAAACTGCCTGAAGTTGAGAATTTAAAGCAGTTTGAAGCAATAAATTGCATGCACATATGCTGGTATAAATATTTTAAACTTTGCCTATGTTTAATAGGAACATACACCACTGTAACAGTATGCTACAGAAACGAATAAAAAGCATATGGTCACACATGACATATACAGTAAGTGGGTAAATCAAGGTCATAAGAAGTTTCAGTGGCAAGTTTTCCAACAAATCCAATGCGATACATGCCTTTTTCTTGAACCCAGAGGGAAATTTCTTAGTTGATAGTCTGTGGTCTTTTCATGTTTTCCAACTTCATAAAACATGCATTCTCTACTGCCTTGCATGGAGCACGCTGTGCTGAAAAATCGCTCTTCAACTTGTTGGTATGCATGGAATTTGCAGGACTGTGACTGCAGATTCTGAAACCAATTATTCAAATAGCTGCCACTGTAACTGGCAGGGCAAGCGTGTCGAGAACAAGGGAAAGAAGCATCTCAGAGATTCATAATAAAATGTGCCCTCCCTATGCAGTGGATTTGCATTCTGAGATAAAGTCCGTGTCCTTGGGTTGGAGTTTTAAAATCTGTCATATCTGGGATGACTCGAAACCACGATGCTGATCTGGACTAAATGAAGGTCTGCCCTATCTTTTGCTTCCTGGCATCACAGTGCAGCCTTTTCACGGTGCTGTTTTTATGTTCAAGGATGTGGAATGTGATGCCAAGTTAAACTGAGCCTCTATTACTTACAAATAGAAATTAACATAACAGCCCTCTGCGGTTAAATGGTGAATTAGGGACAGGATGGATGGATATGTAGCCTTTCCACCTTCCCCCACTTCAGACTCTGCAGAAATATTCAGTGTGATTGAATTATAAGAAAAAAAAGTTACTGATTGGGTGTCCAGTAAATCAGCCTTAAGTTTAGGCTGTTTGATTTCTGCTTTCTTACATACAAAACTGACTCAAGATATACTCAAGCACAACCATATGAACTATTTATCTCATTCTGAATGGCTGGCATTTAGAATTCATAGAGCATCCTGTAGCATATTGTCAGAGTTTTGGTGAGAGATGTCCACAGGCCACCCCATTAATCTCTATTAAACAGGGACGATGTCAGCCACATCTATATCTGTGTACGTGGATTGGATGATGCATTTGAGAGACTTTGTAAATTTGCATAAAAACTTGTTTTTGTTTTGTTTCCTGGTGATCTCTAAATGCATTATTACCCCAAACCAAACAAATCTGATATAGTCAAACACATTCACCCTACGCGAAAGCTGTTGTCCAAGCTGTTACATGTCACTGAATCCGCAGTCATAAAATTTCATCTTTGATTGCTCAAGTACCAACATCTGCATAATTATTTCACTGCGTGCCCTTCATACCGTGCGAGTATGTTCTCATTAGTGATGATATATTGGTTTGACATCTCGCTTAGTGAGGACGGGTAGATTGGAAGGCTGTGATTGAAACCTTAATGAATGATTCATAATCAGAAATGAAATGTACATTTTCATTTGGGAATCTGCAATCATTAGCTGGACACCCCATTAGCCGGACAGCATTTCTGCATTTGGAAAAAAGAAAAGTAGCAATTTCTATGTAGAGGTCTTGATTGATTATACCTGAAAATGTCTGTAGGCACTGTTAAAATATAATCCATATTTTATTTGCAAATTTCCAGCACATGTTATTTCCAGTTGAAGTACTTTTTCCTCGCCTTGGATTTAAAGAGTTACGTTGCTCATGGATTTGAGGTCCACATCATTTCTACTGTACTTCATATTTCATGTTTGAAGCCATCTCAGTACTGGACGGTTGTTTTGAGCGGAGGATTGTTGTTTTGTGCAAAACAAACAGATGGGCCAGTGACTTGACCTACTTCTTCATCTGGACTTCTGAGTAGAAAAAAAGGAAAACTATCAAGAAGAGGGAAAATACAGCGCTGTGTGGATGAATGCAAAGCATATATTATTTATTATTTTTGATTTAACTCACTTCCTTTATTTGAGCGTTTTCTTGACTGTTTTGTACTCTTTTGACATTTAATTGGAGCCAACTTGAGTTTTTCTTCTATTTTTAGCTCGTTGTTGATTAGCTTAAATGTGTCTGACCTCACAGGCCAAAAGGTGGGTCAAAACAGTAATCAGCCTCAGACAAAAAAATGTGTTTTACTATTGGTGTTCCCACAATTAAGATGTCTTATTTTAGGTAAACATTTCATGCTAATCATATACTGGTCAGAAAGACAGAAAGAGAGAGATGTAGATTCCAGCATTCCTCCAGGGCTATAACAAATTTCCTTTGTGTGACATGTGATTGGAGCTTCTTGGACTTGTAATAAGTGACCCATGTTGTAAGAACTATGGTCAATATGGCAGAGGCCTATTGACCGTGAGAGTTCAATGCTTTAAATCCATAACGGTGAAGGAAATTGGCGGTGTTAAGGTGTTAGATTCAGATCATGATCAGGAGTGTTTTCTATGCAAAGCTTATTTCATACTGCCCACTTTTTGATGCCAGCTGAGCCTACAGAGGGAGTTCATTTGGAAAGATGTAATGCTTTCATGTGGTTTATTTTAATGCTACTGCTTATCTGCTTATCCTCGGAAGGATGATTAAAAATACGGAATTACCAGCATTGTTTAAAATGGGAAAGACCCGCATGTTTTCAGCTGTGTTGCACTTTGGACAACTCATCATGGAAGTAAAGCTGTTGCCTCATCCCCGCTGTTTTGCAAATGTAGAGCAAAGCTCAGTTCGCACCTCTGACTTTCCAATGAGACAATATTCGTGCCATGCGCCACATTGGGAAAATACATTATATTCTCATTTGTGCTTCATTCATATGCTCCCCCCCCCCATTTTTTTCCCCATTTTTTAAAATGTAATGTTCATTGTAACTGTGGATGTGATACTGTGACTGTGTAGGTCAAACTGCCTTTGTTTTGAGATACGTTTGAAGCTGATGACTTGAAAGGCCTCCGTATTTTTTCCCACATGTGGTGAAGAGTTACCCGCGGCAGCATATTCTCTTCTCTTCCCACGCGTGTTTAACAATACCAGGAAATGTGCTGCGAGCTATTGCGTCGACTGGCTTTTTTCTTTTTTATTGGGGAGGGGGGAACCACTTTCCTTTCCTGCCGGAGAAATGTAATGTTTGCACATATTGGACATGAATAAGAAAGCGTATCCTCTGCCCTGAGGCTGTACAGGTAAAGGGCTAATGTACACGTGACAATGGAAGAAGAGACAACTTCAGCTACGCTACCGCCGAATGCTATTCCGTACCGTGCGCTGTCCATGGTGCTGAAATACTTCCTTGTTACTCCAATATATTGCAGTGTTTTCCAAGTATTTTACATATTTATGTAGTTATTTTTTTTATTATTGTTGGTAATAATAATAATAATAATAATAATAATAATAATAATAATAATTCCTCTCACATCCATCCATCCATCCCAGATTCTGTATGTGTTGTTTGTTTATCAGTGGTTTCCAGACTGACGCCATCATATCACGAGGTTCGGCATTCCTAATGAGTAACTAAAAATACAAGAAGTACTTTTGATGTCACTTGTGACAGTACAATTCACAGCTACGAGCCTCCACATGCATACACCTCATAGGTTTTAACTGGCCTGCTCCATGCATGTCTGACATGTGGCCTGTCTCTTAGATGTAATAGCCCAGTAAAACACCCTCGGCTGTCAGGCCTCCGACGAGTCTGTCCTGCATAAAACCTATGCAGCCTTCCCACCACGCTGCTGTATATCCGTCTCACCCTCCTCCCCTTCCCTTTCTCGTTTCCTCTCCTCCTCCACATTCAGTGCTCCCTCTTGCGCGTACGGTGAGCAGCAGCAGCGGCAGCAGCAAAGGCTTCAGCGCTTCTCTGACGCACCATCGGAGAGGAGATTCACAGTCCCACAGGCTGTCAACGCAGACGCTCTCGACATCTCCTCCCCAGACCTCTGCGGTCAAGCTTTCAGCATCAGCCTTGTTTGTTTTTAGTCTTTTCCCCCCATCTCCCTCCCTTATCTTGACATTTGTCCGCCTGAGCGCCGTATTTGGTGGGGATGCCCACAGTTGGCATCTCTTGGCTGGGAATTTACTTCGGAGTTGATTTTGTATCTGCAAGAACTGTCAACACGAGTGATTAATTTGTATCCCGAAATTGTCAGATTTTTTTTAAATTATTTTTTTAGGGGGGGAGGGGGGGCATCCTTCAGAACCTTTTTTGTTCTTTATACAAGTGGTTCAGATTAAAGGTGAAAAGGGGGGGTTGTAGAATGAGAGGGTTGTTTGGTCAGGAGATCGTTTGGATGACGGACACCGAGAGGCAGTAGCTCTCCCTCTGCAAAGCGAATCTCTGCGCCCTTGGAATATTCTCACAGAGGCACGGTTACACAGTAGAAATATTTTCTCAGTTTGCAGTCGTAATCCACGGGACGAGTTTGCCCACTGCAGGGGCTGCTGCGGCTTTTGCGTCTATTCTGTTTTGAATTCATATCTCCTTGACGGACGGGCGCGTGAGGATCCCGGACGAGCCCGAATTTGCAATGCCCGAGCAGTGAGGGCACGGTGGGATTTCATTTGGTCACCCTGCACAGTAGCATGGCTCCAGCCCGGAGGGACTGCAGCGGCTGGGAGATGTTCCTCCCGACGGGATGCCTGCTCCTCTCTGTTTTGCTATTTCACCCTGCTCTAACCAAGGTGTGCAACGACCGCACCAAACACGGACAGGACAACAGCTGGTTCACCAGGGACGGGGAAAACTTGCCCATAATGGTTCTTATGCCCATGAACGAGTCGGCCCTGATGAGCAGCATCAGCCAAGGAATCGAGCCGGCGGTTCAGCTGGCCATCCAACACATAAGGGAGTCCGGGAAGTACTCGTTCTCACTCATCACCAAAATATACGACACCGAGGTAAACATGCAGACTAAATCTGCTCACTAAGCTGCCGCCGGCTGGCTCGGGCGTGCTTGAAACATTTGTATATGGCTTGTATGTGTGTATTTGCCTATGTGGGGGGGCGCGCGCGAACAGTCAGCTTGTGCACGTGTGCATGGCGCGCGCATTGCCCCGCAGAGCTCCACCGAGTGTCCCTCCAAAGGGGTTCTGTTATGCTTGGCATCTGCGAAGCCTCGTTGTTTTTGGCGAAGGTGTTTTTTTCTTCTTCAGTGCGCAAAAGTCAACTGTAGGTGTGCCCCCCCCCCCCCCCCCACACACACACACACACACACTCACGAACATGATGTACGTGTCTGCCTCGTCCTCCTCATTTTAGCTGCTGTCGCTGGTAGTTGATAGGGCATTTAAAATGCAAGGTGCCATCACAAGGCTCTGCTTTATCTGGATACTCTAGAGGCACACTTTTCAATGCTTTAATGGTTACTGCAATCTCTGCTATTCGCCATCACCAACCAGTGATTTAACGTTTTTTATTTTAAATTTTTTTTAAATCACAGCATCCGACCTTTGTTTCTGCAGTGGCCACTTTATAAGCGGGCTTTCAGTCATGAATCAGTGTAGCTTTCTAACGATTAAAGGGGCTGGTTCTCCTCGTGCCTGAAGATGGCGGTAATTGGTTGTACGATTTCTCCTGAATCCTGGCACCCTTGAAAAGAGCAGAACATCACAGTGTTCAAGCTCCAAATTAAGATCCATTTATTTGATAACGCTAACAACTCCAGCTGAAGTCCTCTTGAAGTTGCCAAAAGTGTAGACAATAGCTTGTTCTCCATAATCTATTTACACTTCAGTTATTTGACTCAACAGTATAGTGGTCCTTTAGGCTTAAGTAACGTCTATGCTTTTGAGCGCACACTGTGCAGCTGAGGGGTTTAATTTACCATCAACCTGCTTCCTTGATAGTTTGTCAAATTTCTATGAATTTCAGCGAGACAATTAGAGGTTGAATGAACTGCAACTCTATTTATCTGTTTTATAGGTCGAGCCAGATCTGTTTTATTGTGCCACCTGTCCCGCTGCCTTAGAAATCAGCAGGTTTTCCTTACCGTGTGGGCACAGGTGTGTCCATGTGAAAGAGCACGCGCATCTCTGTTGACAGGGGTAAGCCCTCAGAGGTGGCATGTGCTCAGACCTTGGGATTAATGTGCTGTTATGAGAGTTATGATTTTTCTCTTTCTATTCCCCTGGAGAGAAAGATGAGCTGGAAGCAAGAGGTCAGTGGGCCAGCCTGACACATGCTTGCTGGAAATGTCTGGTAGTGATGCCAGCTTTCTAATACTGGGAAGGCATGAGAACATTTTTATTTGATCACTTTGTGGCCAAAGGCTAAACTCCATTGCTCTATAAAAACCCAATGGCATTTCAGGGTGGTTTTCCCAGATGGGGCAAATGAAACTCCCAAGTTCTGGTCATGTTTTTGAAAACGACTAAGTAAGACTATTAGATGCCTGCAGTGAAACTTCTGTATTATTCTTTTAACAGCAGATCTCATAAATGCGTTGTTAAGCTGCTAACAGACTGCAGGCATCCTTGGTTGTAAAAACTAGGAAAAAATAAAATTAAAAAAGAGAGAAAAAGAATGTCCTCCAAATAGCTTATAGTATATTTACATGTGGAATCATGTGGCTCAGGACGCTGTGGTTAAAGTAAACAAGAGGCCAAGTGCAAATTGAAGCATATCACCGCTACTGAATATTCTTATTGTATGTTTGCAGAAAATAAAGAAACTGAGACTTTGGGGAAAATATGATTCCACTAACATCTGAAGATATAAGATGCTATTATTGTTTGTGAACACTTGTTTGTGTCTGAACAATAATAAGCATGTACAGCTAGAGAAGACCTTTGCCTGGGAGGGGGATATCACTGTAGTGCTGATTATATTGCTTTCACCCACTGACTCACTTATAGGACCAATAAGGTGACATCCGTGATGGTTGTGCTATTACCTATATATGCGTTTTCATTGTACATTTCTTGCAATATTATTTTTAACTTACACACAAACGAATGACCTAAACACACACTCACAAACAAAGGGATGGACCCAACTTTCCACCAAGCACATGCTTGTCAGAAAATAATACATGCATGAGTGCGTTTGTTGCAGCTAGCAGCAGGCCAAGTGTGTGCCTGCGTTGTGCTTGTACACATGTGTCTGTGTTTGTGTGGGCACTGGGATTTAGCCCTGCAGATGTAAGTAATCAGTCCCCGAGCACAGGCTCTTTATCCCTTTATCCCCTGTCAGTGGAGCCATGGGTTAACTGAGCAGGCCTGGTCCATCCTTGTGCAGTGTGGAGCTGGGTGGTGGTGGTGTAGATGACAGTGAGGCACTCAGGAGCTGTCCTGCAGTAAAAGGCCGCAGAGTTGAGGCTGGTGAGCTAGTGTTTGGTGGATTGAAGAGGCAGCTAATGGAAGTAGAGCAGATATTCTGCCTTGGTGGTTTCAAATTAGTCTGATCAGACTGACAGCCAACTCTTGAGATGTTTCAGCAGCACAGACAATTCAGCAGGCTGAGACGATTTCACATGAAAATACAGCCTTACTAAAAAAGAAAACAAAAAAAACAGAGCATTTGAGGTAGAAAAGAAGCAGGATGGAGGCTTAGCGGTGGAGCAGGAGTTGGTCCTTTACTGCAGCTAGATGTGTGAGTGTGGATTTTTAGTGTAACCATGGACTGATACTGTAACTCTGCAGGCTTAGAGGATCAAAGCTTTGGAGAGGACAGGAGGCACTGGAAGAGGATGGAAGGGAGACTTTGGGCAATGAAAGGGTTCTAGGCTAAGCTACGCTAGTTCACCGGCTTATAGGATGAGTGACAGGCCCTTGAGAGGGGCCACTCAGGGAAATATCCCATTTTAGCAGAACGGTGATGGAAAGTTTTTGAATTGCAGTGACAACTTTTATTCAGCTTGAATCGTATGAGACAAAAAGCTATAAAATCAACAAGGCAAAGGTTAATACCGTGAAAATTCTAAGTGAAGCGTTGTGAATTTGAAATAATTCATTCATACACACTTAGAACTCTAGGGTAATCGCTGGACTTTGATACCTATATTCTTACAGCGAAGAGTGAACTCATCAGTAGAAACACAACGACAACGAGTTTGTTGCAGTTTGAGATGCGCATCTTGACCGTGTCCAGTGCACCGCATACAGTATACAGCTATTTCTGTTCTGCTAGAAGTGACCTATGTTTAGAGACGCCGCACACAGCTGCAGTATAAGCCGCTTCCCCTTTTCTTCTCAGAGGGCTAAATGCGACATGTCACATTTAAGCTTGTGATGGCGAGCCCGAAACCACAGTACAGTAGTCTTGTCCACGGGATGCTGAGCACCCCCACCCCCCGCTTAGTGTGTGTAAGGCATTTTGTCATTTTGTCACAAGAAGTTACGTTTTCAGTGAAAAGCCATTTTCATAATGGAGGTTACTGTTCTGCTAAGCATAGGTCTTGAGTCAAAGCGAGCTGGTTCAATGCTGATACTCTTGGTGGGGTTGAGGAAAATTTGTTTTAGCAATAGCTCTTTGTTTGTTTTGTTGGCCATTTATTTTTGTAGTTATTTGGGGGTAGAGCCTCTTAGAGTACCATCCAATGAACTTATTGTTTCACACGCTGAACTCACCTTTAAGATTCTTTGTATAATAACCTTACACATACAAATGAAGCTCCACCTTTAAAAGTCTTGTATTTTCAAAAGGGGTCTGATGTATGCCATGTGTTATTTAAATGTGTGACACCTGCAGCATTTAGTGCCAAAGTGGTGACCTGGGAGGGTCAGCAAAGATTGCCTGTCACCACTCCTGGGAGAGGGTGAATGTTCAGCGTGAGCAGGGAAAAGCAGCATGTGGCAGTTCTGGCGCTCTCTGGGCATATAGAAAGTGCTGAGTGTGGTTGTATTCACTGACCCGACACAGATAGTGGGGATCAATGCGCAGCGGCCCTTCTCATAGAACGAACAGGATCTCAGGGGAGAATCAGAGAGTGAGGCGAGAGGGAAAGAGATGCGTAGGGCTGTTAGATGGAGATCCCGAAATAGGATTATATCATCTTCTGTGCAGGAAGAGGAAATGGCCAGCCTCTTAATTCATATTGGATCCTAATGTAATGCTGTTTGTATTGTTTCTGTCAGGCAAGTACTTTAATGGCTATTTGGGAAAAAAAAGAAAAAAGAAAAAAAGAGAGAAAGCAATTACCGCATGTAATGAGGTATGCATAATAGATCCGTAACAGGCTCCAAAGATCTTGTGTTACGTATATCCCCTCAGAAATTGATCACAGTGTTTTCTTTATTTGAATGTTTTCACACTGTGATTTAACAAAATGAAAGAAGCATGGGTCACAGTTTAATAAATATGCCAAATCTGAGCATTAATTGCTGACCTTTGTCTGAGTCAGCCTGCCAGTGGCCTGGAGGGCTTGAGCGAGACAAATAGCAAATGTGAACTTTCTTGATGAAAGGCTCTTTACGCGCCCCGAAGCTGGCTTTACAACAGATATTGTGACACACAAGTACACGCAGAATATTTCGCATAAATGAAACACACAAACAGGCATGCAGCGCATTCACGCCTACATATGGTCACGGCTGTTGTCGATTGGCACCCCTGCAGCACTGCCTGAGGTCAGGATATTGTAGTCACTTGAGCAGTTAGACATGAAGTGTTGTTCATCTCCGGAAAAAGGAAAATGGACCCGCGGGTTCATCAGACCGAGTTATGCAACGTCAATTTGGGCTTTTCCTTGACAGATTTAAGTCTCCTCCCTGTTGTATTTTTTTACTATCAAATGGTTGGAAATAATAAGAAAATGGAACGATTTCTGTCAAAGAAAGATAGCACGCTCATTGTCTGTTATCCCTAGAATCATGCTTACTACCATGTTATTACCCCATAAGGACCTACTGTGAGCCAGGAAAAGCCTTGGAAAATCATTTAAAAAATCTTTTGTACCATG